CCTCCAATCAGTGAATAAACACTTGTCACAGACCACAGTCGTCAAAGCTACAGAGTGTTGCTGTGCACACAAGCACACAGGCAGGGGAACAGAATAGAGGGCTGGGAAATGATCTAAACATACACAACTGATCTTTAACTAGGAGGGCAAAAGACACAAATGAGGCTATGCCTCCTGGGAGCTTAGTGCGAGGAGGACTGAGAGTTCAAGACCAGGTCTGTTCTGAGACCCTCTTAATCAACCAACCCACCAACCATTAGAAAACAGTCTGAGAAAACTAGATTTCCATATCTAAAAGAAAGAAATTGGACTATCACGCCATATGGAAAAATCAACTCACATTGGTGGTGGTGTGGGAACAAGAAATGGGAAAACCAAACTACAGTTTGTTGAGTTGTTAGTTGAAAACTCAGAACATGCATTGCTAATGGAAATGTAGTAACAAGGCGTAGAGGTCTATATAGAGAATCTATTTGATTCTAGTGCATATGAAGAATGAACACACTATAACCTGCTCACATGCAACACGAACACACTATAACATGCTCACATGCAGCATGAACACACGGGAACCCGCTCACATGCAGCATGAACACACAGGAACCTGCTCACATGCAGCATGAACACACTGTAACCCGCTCACATGCAGCATGAACACACAGGAACATGCTCACATGCAGCACGAACACACTGCAACCCGCTCACATGCAGCACGAACACACTGCAACCCGCTCACATGCAGCATGAACACACTGCAACCCGCTCACATGCAGCACGAACACACTGCAACCTGCTCACATGCAGCATGAACACACTATAACCTGCTCACATGCAGCATGAACACACTATAACCTGCTCACATGCAGCATGAACACACTGCAACCCGCTCACACATGGCATGAACATACTGCAACCTGCTCGTATGCAGTACCAACACACTGCAACCCACTCATATGCAGCATGAACACACTGTAACCTGCTCACATGCAGAACACAGGTTTTATGGAAATACATAATAGAGCTTTTTACTGATCCCAGAAACTCCTCTCCTCTCTCTGACTGCGGAGGACTCGCCATTCTGCCTGCTCCTCTGCTCTTGCACCAGGGAGAAGACCTTCCCACCCTCCCTCTGGTTATAGTTGCAGAAGCTCCCAGGCCTAGCATGTCCAGGAAAACGTTCCAGGATCCCTGGGCATCTGCAAACCTGGGTGGACAGGACATCCTCTCAGTGACATCCTCTGGGTCCCTGTGTGTTTCCAGTCACCTCCTTTGCTCTATGCTAGCAGCCCCTGGGCCTGGCCTTTCCATCACCATCATCATCTGGACACTGTAGCTCAGCTTCTCTGATACAGAAAGCAAGGGCATCCCTCCAGCGTCTTTGTTCATCAATTTGTTTAACTGAGGAAAGGAGAAACGGAAATTAAGATGAAACCCGTCCATCCTTCTCCTCACCCAAGCCTACTAGGAAACTTAGGTTTGGGCTGTACAAATGGAGATCCACACTTCTCTCAAAAAGACAGCAACCTCAAATGATTCTCAGCTCTCTACCAGCTAGCATGCTAAGACGGCAAAGAGCAGGGTTGGGGTCAACGATAGTCAAGAGTCTGCTAAGCAGATGATGGATTCTGTTCGAAGGTGGCTGAAGAAGCTGCCATGACACCTGGCCTCCCTGGAGGACCACAGGAGGAGACAGCCCACTCATTTCTCTCCTCTGAATCTCACTTCCAAGATGACAGCTAATAAGAAGCTCCTGGAAAGAAGCGGATGTCAGAGATCCACAAACCCAAGGATGAGGTGGATGGAGAGGGATGGAGGCCGCTGAGGAGGGAGGGGATTTTCTGGGTCCACTTGTACCCCTGTTGCACGTCGGCCTTGTGGTCTTGTGGACACACGCGACGCAGATAATGTCCCGCATCCGTTTGACTCCCGCTAAGGACCGCTTCACCGTGTTTCACTGGCCATTGTGGTATCCTAGCAACTAGACTGACCCGGGGCTGGAAGTGAAGAGGACCAGGCGAAGCATGCGTGCACAGGTCGGTCTTTCTGTCTTCCTTTATGTGTTTTGACTTTTCTCCCGGGAAGAAAGGGGTGAGAGTCAGACAGAAGCCACTTAGGAGACCCGATGGGGGTCCGCCCCGCCGTGACACAACCAGAGGCAACTCACCCCAGATGAAAGACTTAAGCTTTGATTTCCACAGCCAGCTCGTCAACCTTCTGCTCCATCCCAAATGCCCCCACCCCCAAGCCTTCAAAGAGCAGCTTGACCAGTCACCCCCAAAACTTTTACTTCCACAACATAAAGGGCCGTGTTCCCTATTATCCTTAATAACTGATTTCAGCAATTGACACCACGGAGTGAACAGATCTACTACATGATTCAGTTCGATTTAAAAGTTAATTTCTAATCAAGGCGAGGACTGCCACCCAACCCTAAACCCCAGAGCTCCCAGGCTCCTCTGGTTCTTAAGAGTTCCCAACTGAAGGTTTCACTCCTTTGACTCTATATGAGTGGAGACTCCCAGAGAGGTATTTACCTCCTCAGTTACCCTGAGAACGCGCAAGCCCTCAGAGAGAAAAATGCCAGAAATCAAGAAGGTCATGGAGGAGAAGAGAAAAGCATGGTTCGCTATCTTCTCACAGCCTAATGAGGTATGTATGCATCGTGGGAAGGGGATGTCTGGCTGACCGTCATATACACACGGTAAATGTACATGAAATACGTGAACCACCCCATCAGCGGGTCTGCTGTGGGAGATACCGGCATTTCTTAGTAGATTATCTATTTTTGCTGAGCTGCCTTTGAAGCTATCTTGTTTGGCAGTCCCGTTATTTTAGAAGTATCATGCCTGAAATACTTCTTTGGTCAGCTATCTGCAGTAGGGTTCTCTGTCCAAAAATCAGAAAGAGACCAGTCTTCTGAAGAGAAAGGAGGAATGTCCAAGACTCTCATCCCTACTTCAGCTCAGTTTTATCCTTTGGAATATAATTCTCAGGAATGCTTTTCCAGAGTTTACAGAATCAGAACTACTGGATTCTCAGGGCGACCTCACAACTGCTAACTGCCAACAGACAAACTCAGCCCTCAATCAGACACCTGACAATTGGGGGAGGCTGATGGAGGCCTCGCTGATTCCAACAGCCATGATCCTATGTCAACAGGAACCCATGGCCCCGTCAACCAAGCTCCCGGACTCTGGTCTTTGGTTTATCTCGAAAGATGTTTACAAAAGAAGGACCAGGTAAAACCGTGAGATTTGCATCCAGGACGCAAGCGAGGGTCGGGTTTGCAGAATCAATTGTGCAGCTTTTGACACCCACTGCGCATTCGCGCATATGTCCCTTATTACCCAGTGGAAAACCATTAAAGGCACAGTAGTTCTGCCAAGTGGCGTTAGCATTTAACAGCTCTTAAGCAGCTCCGGCTCTCATTAGAGTTCGCCATGTGGTACAGGGGGTTTTATGCGTTTAACAGTGTAGGGGGCTCCAGCGTGCTTTCTTTTCTGGGCCTGCTCATCCCACGGTTGGACAGGATCTTAGCAAAGTTGGTTCACTAGTTTGGTTGACGGAGGGAGTCAGAGTCATTTGGAAAGCAAAAAGAGAAATGAACGTTTCAATCCTCTTCAAACTCCTTTGGGATTCTCTCACTTATTAAAAACTGAAAATAAGTTACTGCAAAACTCAAAAAAAAAGTTAACCTGCAAACAATTAGTCTAAATATAACATTTATCATTTTAGGGACAATTTTTATTGAACTTTTCCTTGCTTAATAGGAATGTGACAGCCAGTAACAGTACTGTAGCACACAGTAGGAACTTAGTACTATAGCACACAGTAGAAACTCGGTACTATAGCACACAGTAGGAACTTAGTACTATAGCACACAGTAGGAACTCGGTACTATAGCCAACAGTAGAAACTCTCTATACTATAGCACACAGTAGGAGCTCTATACTATAGCACACGGTAGGAACTTGGTACTATAGCACACAGTAGGAACTCGGTACTACAGCACACAGTAGTAGCTACAGAACCCAGCAGATCTGCTGGGGAGAGGGTAAGGGCCATTTTACAATTTGCATATGTAGGAAAGAAAACATCTGCTATGCAAAGCACAGTGGAAATCATGTTCAAAAAAATCAAAGGGCTCTCAGAGTTATGCTGCAGCTAGCTTCCATTTCTGCACCCTGCAGGAACTATTTATCTTCTGGCTAGAGAAGGGGGCCCTCAAGCAGGACCTCCCCCCCTTGAACAAGCTAAAGCAGGGTGGATATGTCAACTGTTGCTGCTCTCAGAGGCAGAGCCGAGCATCTGCGTGCTGTTCCCCTGAGCACTGCGCTCCCGTCCATCCTGTTGCTGAACACTTTCACTGGGGAGGCAGCTATGTTTTCCTGCTGAAAGATTTTAGCACTTTATTCTGGAAGCCCCACATCTGTTTCCTCCTGGAAAAACAACTGTATTCTACACGTGAACGAAACACCTGACAATGGCCAGGTGTCTCTGGGGCTGAGCAAAAGTAGTGATTAGAGCAAAATCAGCCCTTGCCCTGGTGGGAATAGGAAGGTGACTGACTAGTCCTAGTTAAATGTGGTCTCAAGGAAGGGTGTGTGTGTGTGTGTGTGTGTGTGTGTGTGTGTGTGTGTTACGCACAGGCCAAATTGCCTTTAAATTAAAAAAAAAATGATCTGCTTCCCAACAAACAATTTTTTTTTCTTCAATGAGTGCAGCAGACTTTGGATGAGGGGGGACTATTTCACCCCTGATTTTTTATTATAAAATTGTTATTTATTTCAGAGACTGCAGCCAGGTTCTGGCATTGTCTCTACTCCAAGCTCCGGGGGGAGTTCCAGCAAAGCCATGGGGCAGAAGGCAGAACATGATGGGCTCCCCAGGGGTTATTACCGTTATTATTATGATAAAAACAGATGTGTTTTTATTGGAGGGGAAGGAGAGCAGTCCCAGCCCTCTGTTTTGCTCTTTTTTAGAAAAAGAAAACCACTCACCTGACTTTTGTTCGCAGCCACTTTGGCAAACAGGGCTTGAGACACCTTGGCCCTTTTCATCTCCTGTTGGATCTCATCATAAATAGCAGCTGTGATGTTGACGCTGGCGCCGTCCACCTTAATAGGGAGGTCTGTTGTCGGTGTCGAGGTTTTGGCCTACCAAGAGACCGTGCAAATAGTAATTTAAAAAGTGCCGCATTCAGAGCAACCATCTGTGCAGAAATTATCAGAGGGCTTCAGTCAGCTGATGCCAAACCACATTAGCTACAGAGGGACACTTCCTGTCCATTATTCTAATCAGGTTAATTGTGATTGGAAATAATTGCAATGCATTCCTATAGGACAGACAGAGGCCTGTCAGCGCCTGCCTCCCCTCACGGTATCCTGGAGCCTCGCAGGTAGGGAGGCAGCCCTGGGCACCCAAACATGGCACCGAGCTGCGAGCAGGCACACAGAACGCGCCCACCTTTTTCTTTGTAAAAAAAAAAAAAATGGTACACTTTACAGCAAGAATCAATTCTTTAAAAAAAATCAGCAGAGTAAATGGGTAGAGGTCTCTAAATAATAAATTATTACTCGATTTAATGCGCTCCCGCGAGTACCTCTCGCTCTTTATTAAGGCTTCATGTATGTTATTTGAGCATGTGCAGTTCTCCTGATTACCGTCGTTATGCTACCCAGACAGTCACCTAATTTCACCTAGGAAATCACTGGAAATGAAACAGAATTTCATTTCATAACACCGGGCTTCGGGTGCCTTCCGTACCCAGTTCTCATTTCCCTTAAACTCATATTGTGGTTCTGTGCTCTTCTGCCACGCTCGTTTTAATCCAATGATTTCCCATTAGCTTCAGAGACAAATGAAGGACAACGCGGAAGGCGTTGGGCTTCCTGGGGTAGGAATACCCTAAAACATCCCAGGCAACTTGGTCCGAAAGATTGCCAGGGAGGCATCGCTTGCTTAGTCTGATCTTCAGGCTGCCCCACCTGGAAGACCCAAGCAGGTTTCTTAACGCTGGCAACCCATCCTTGTGTGCACGGCGTTGTTGACTAAATGGGTCAAAGTTCGGGTTCTGCTTTGCCCTCGCCCACGCTACAGTGCTGTAAGAATGATCACATCTTTCCCTCTGCTGCTGCCCTCCCCTCAGCTGGCACTATGCAGGTCTGGTGGAAGACAGCCTGCAGTCGGGATACAGCGTCCTGTGCAAGAATTGTCCTGGGCCTGGACTTCCTGCTGAGTTCCCACAGAGGCTTGGCTCCCTGAGACAGCACAGTGGCATTTTCCATCTTCCTTTCTTCCCTCCATCTTCCTTCCATCTTCCCTCCCCACCCCATCTTCTCTGCTCGTTACTTCCAAGTCACAGTGTGTAATTTCCGGGCTTCTGTGAGCCAAGCCCTCTAGGACACAACTCTTGTAAAAGTCCACTGAGTGAGGTATCAGAGCGGAAAGGGCAGAGGTCTTAACCTGGTCTAACAGTCGTGGAACAGTAAGGGAAGGCACCCTGAATCCATTCAGCACAGTGCCAGAGACTTAGTGCACCTCTGTTGCCCTATTTCCACACAGGGCAGGTATCCGCTTCCCGTAACAACTCAGTCTTCGAGTTTCTTCAAGAAGTTCCTTCTTTTTTTTGCAAAATCTCTAGCAGACAGGCCATGCTCGCCTCGTTAGGTGAAGGGTGTTACATTTATCACCTGTTTGCATTTCCTTTGCTGCCTCTGCTAACCTGGCTGCTTATATCTTCTCTTGAACACTAAGGGCTAGGACAGAGCGGTGACCGCAGTCTGTGGCCAGAGTCTGGGATCCGGCATAAGTATAACGACATACAGTTCGAGTGCTAACTCTACCCTCAGCCATGGAACTCAGTTCTAGCAGCCACTTAGCCCATCTAAGCCCGCCTCCTCATGGGTCACATAAGAACATCACGGCAAAACAGTGATGGTGGAGCAGGTACAGATGGCCCACAGCCCTTGCTGTGCCAAAGCTGGATGTGAATGACGGCCACTCTGTTCTCTTCCTGTGCCGCTTTGTGACCAAGGACACCGTAAAACGCAGGCCACTGAGGAAGTGTGAGGAGATACTGGAGGTTTAATTTCAAATCTGAAATGTCTCCGGTGTGTTGTGAAACTGATTATAAAGTGTTGGAGGGATCTGGAAAATAATTTGTGTAAAGTTGCCTTTGTGTACGAAGTTGCTGGCTCCAAATAAGGGCTGTCTGGTCCCTACTCTCTTCCATTCTCAAAGGAACGCTCTACAGAGCCTTGGACTTGTTATGTCACTGACGACCTCGCTGAGATTCCAGGCAGGTATCGCCATGCTTGGCTTTCTGTTGTCATTGTTTGTACAAAACACCTTCACTGCTGAGATAGGCCAGAGAGAATTTTAAACACATAGGGACACAGGTGTGCAGGAAATGTTTGAAAGATTCAGACAACTTTCTCTTTCCCAATCTCCAGCCACAAATATAGAATAAATGGCAATGAAGGTACAATTGTGGTCCTAGAATCATACTCCTCAAAAGTATATTTCATGTGTACTTTCGGAAATCCAAAAAGCTGTAAAAATTAAATGTTCAACTTCCTGTACTTATCCCTAAGGAAACCTTTATCTAGGAACTTTCAAGTTCTGATCCTGATTCAAACAAAGCAAATGTTGTCTGAATTGTGAAGCCATATTAAGCTGGCCAGGCTCTGGAAGTGATCAGGTCTCTGGAAGACTGCCGAAGATACAATCTCGTTAGAAAAATATTGCAAAGACACTGACAGCAAAACCTACCGACCTGTGTGGCTTTCCAACAAGTACCGGTGGCCTTGTTCCAGGAGAACGGCCTGGCTGGAGGGACGTGGAGTAGGAAGTATGGCTGGACTCCCCAAAGGCGGCACAGCCTTTAACCATGGTAAAAATACTACTGACTTTACTGGCAGGCGATATTAGTGCAAACTAGCAAGGTCCTAACAATTGTTCACTATTTATTCACTGATATTGAAAGAAAAATAAATTAAAAGGCTTGGTTGCACATGTCCAAAGTAAGCGGTCAAGACTTTAACAGTAAGTATGGCTCATGTTTTATTAAAACCTGAAGTGTCAGTAATGCAATTCAGCAGGGCATGAGGGGACAGGACTTTAGTTACAAATCCACCACAGAATGCAAAAATAGCGTCAAGGTAGATGGGGAAAATGAGGATATTGAAACTTGTGAAGGGTTTAACATTCCTACCAGAACACAGTTCTGGTTCTGTATTTCAGCAGCTTCTTGGAATTTACCAGAAAACCAACAAGTAAGAACAAAACTATAGTATCTAAGCAGAGCCACCTTCTATTTTGATGGGCTCACTCTTCAGGTTTGCACAGATAGGTATCTACCAATTAACTGTTGGCTTTGAGAACCGTCAGAATCTATGCAACCCAGAGAATGGAATGGTTTGATCCTAAGTCAACAAGTAGGGAAAGTTGAGGGGAAACAGGAAGTAAGTGAGAATTGAGTGGCTTACATCTGAATTGGAAATGTGCCCTGCCTACCTCATGTTCTCAACACTTTAGAAGTGAGCAGACAGGAAGGCCAGACATTCCCAAATTCAGCTAAGAGGGGCAAACCGAGGCCTCCTATCGCCAGGACCCATCCCTACACCCAGCTACCGTATTCCCTACACACAGGGCCTCTCCACTGTGTCTCTAAAAAGTTCTTATTTCCACCAGGCCTTGGTTGTTGGGAGCAGTGAGACCCCAGATCCTGAATTTCTTGTAATCCCCTGATCTGAGTGCCTACAGCTGCTCTGAGCACAAGACCTTCAGGAGTTCCTGATGGCAGGAGAGTGGTTTCTGGTGGGTTTGGCTGGGGCGTGGCTATCTCTATATAATCTGCCCCTGAACACAATAAAGGGGGCATTCTTGGGGAATTCAAGGATGACCCGTGTCGCTGTCTCTGTCTCTCTGTGTGTCTTCGTATTTTAACCTCCAGCCCCCTTGTCCGAAGCTCGGTAACTGGGTGCCAGCACACAGAGCGCAGACACGGGGGCGCAGTGCGTGGCAGTTGGTGGTGCATGCCTTTAATCCTGGCACTCAGGAAGCAGAGGCAGGCAGATCTTTGACGTCGAGGCCAACCTGGTCTACAGATCAAGAGCCAGGACAGGCCCCAAAGCTACACACAGACACACAGAAAGCCTGTCTCGAAAAACCAAAAAGTTCTTCTTTTTTTTTACTGGGGGGAGGTATGTGTGCACAGGAGTGTAGGTACCAAGGAGGCCAGAAGTGTTGGATTCGCCCGGAGGTGGAGTTGCAAACAAAAGTGATAATCGATCTTAACTGCTGACCCATCTCCCCGGCCCTCCGCTTTGTCTTGCTGGCCTGCTTACAGCAGCATTTGAGCTGCTGCTTCTTGCCCTCAACTTTCTCCTCCCTGTCACAATAACCAAGCAATTTAAGGAAAATAAAGTGCTTGGCTTTTTGTTGGTTTTTGGTTTTTTGAGACAGAGCTTCTCTGTGGCTCTGGGGCTTGCTATACAAACACAGCTTCCACCCCACCCCTCGGCTCTTTCTTCTGAAACTGCACAGTGGGTAGTGGATCACCCCACTACTCTTGCCTGCTCATGGGAAGAATGGGACATCCCCAAAGGGGAAGGAATAACATTCCACAGTATGGGATTACCACATGACAGAGCTACAGGCCATACCCTTTGACCCGTTCCTTGGATTAAGAAGCTCTTGAGTCACGTCTCTTGGTTTTCAAGGGAAAACAGAATCCATGGCACAAGAGGTTCGTAAGTGATGCATGGAACAGGCGGCTCACCTGTGGGGTTCGGGAGGAGCTGGGGCTGCTAGAGGCGGAGGAGACCATGCTCACATTGGGATTCATGCTCCGTTCCCTCTCATCCTGGTAAATGCGATCACGCTCCACTTCGGGCAGGTTGAGGAAGTTCTGCATGGCCCTCAGGTTTACGAGCAGAGACTGGGAGGCAGTCCTGGGGTCTTCCTCCTTACGCAGAATCTCTGACAGTAATCCCTGGTGGAGCGGAGGAGAGAAACAGGCAAAGTCACGTCTGCAGGTTCATGGGTGTGGTTCCTGTCTCCCGCCCTACCGCCCCTCTATCTGTTATAGCCAGCATGAGAGGATACCGGGAACATGCCTAATTCCTGCAGGCTCGCAAGGGATCTGTGGGGATGTGCTCCCCTTCCGGGGCTGTGCCTCATTTAGGACTTCTATTCTGCCACCTCATCATCACCGCGATAATCCCAAACGAGGCAACGCCAGCTAGCAAAGGTAGGCGCTCCGGAGGAAATGTGGGGCTGCAATTAGCGCCAGGTGCCTCCTGCAAGTATTTCAGGAGCTGTAAGAACTCTCTCTGCTTGAAACTGGGAACTCTTGGCAGTCCTGCTTAGCTTTACAAATCTGCCAAGTTTGGTAAATTTAGTTCCGACATTTAAACAGCATGGGAGATTTACATCGATTTAAAAAAAAAATAAAAGTTTGGCTGAATTTATGTATGACTGGCCACTGGTTTCAATAGAGATTTCCTATGGCAAGGGGGAAAAAAACAGAAAAAGGAAAATAGAAAAATAGAAAGCAAATGGCTGTTATATGTCAGCTCTGATAATTTTGCACACAGTAGTTACGCTTGTGCAGGTAACATGAGGCACCCCAGAGTTTTGTGAGGTAGCTTCTTGGGGAAGCTCTAATCTTACAGTTAAAGTGATGGAAATGTGGTCACGTTAGCTAGGGACCTGAGCACGCTCTAACTGCAGCGTGGATAGGCTCCAGCACTTCCTCAATGTGCAACTCAACCAAATTGGGGAGCTCCAAGTGCGGTGTTTCTGTGGACGCAATTGCCAAAGATTTTGCCGATACTCTAATAACACATCATGGCCTAAGAGGGCAGCGAGAGACAAGGGAGGGCCATTAGGACCCCATACACTTGTGGATTAACTCACAGAGACATCACTACATATTCTCAGCTGACATCCTTTTGCAAGGCACTATGAGACCACGGTTTAGGATTGTTCCCCCCTCCCCCCCCCCCCCCCGGGAAGAGCTAAGACACTAAGCCTGTAGCTTTGAACAGACGGGGCAACCCCAAGTCACAAAGAGTTACTTCTACGAACTGCAGCAAAGCCCTGCAAGCGCCAATGATGTTTGCTCTGAGGGAAATCGATAGAGATGCGAGAGACACAGCTCACATACAAAACAGCGGTGGATGGGAGGGGAAGAAATATTCTCTGGCTGGTCAGAAATCTGCAGGGCACAGTGGGCATTTTCATATAAACCTGTGTATTATAATGTAGTATAACCAATGTCACTTATAGGAAGGCACATCACATGGTTACCAACATTTCAAGGAAACACAATCATCATTCGAAATAGCACATAAGGGCTGGCAAGATGCCTGATGACCTCGGTTCAATTCCTGGGGCTTCCATGAGAGGAGGAGAGAACTACAAGCTCTCCTCTGAACCCCACATACACACACACATGCACACACATGTGCACATGCATACATACACACATAAATAAACTGAATCATTTTTGACCCACATTAAACAACTATACCACAAGGAACCTATGCTAGTCCTGGATTTAGAGGTCACCCTTACTTTGGTTAAAGGAATCCTCAAACTTGGAAGAAGTACATATGGAAACACAGCACACAATGTCGTCTGTTTGAGGTCAGCATGTAAACAAGGATAAAACATGCCATGCCACGTGAGTGTGTACGTGTGGCTGTGTGCGGCTTGGTATGTGGGCACACACATATGTGCTCAAGGAGGGAGTGAGGTAAGTGGTGTGTGTGGGTAAAAATCCCCCACTGCTACAGTGATGGGAAGGGAATCCAGATCTCGTGGCATGCCTCAAGAAGACAAGTGAGGTGCCCGTCTTCCAGGAAAGCGTGACGCAGCCCGGGAATCCATTCCCTTTCTGGAACTAAGAGTCGGTTGTGCCTCGGGTTGCCCTACTTCCCATTTTAAATGAGCAACCTGAAATATATTCATAATGGATTTGCTTCAAAGATTTTCTGTTTTACAAGAATCTCTAAATTAATATGAGAAAAGGAAGTGGATTTTGAAATTGCTTCCAGGTTCCAAAGTCGATACAGCACTCAGATATTTTCTGAGCTTTCCTTCATGATGAGTCACGCACAGAAAGAAGGAGTGGCTTTTCTTCCACCCGCCCCGCGCCTGTCCTCCCCCATTCTCCTCTCCTCTCTCTCTCCAACCTACCTTCGGTATTATAATAAAAGTGTTTTCGGGTCATCATGGAGATATCTGCTATGATTATAATTCAAAATTACTCAAAGGCAGAGATTAACTTATTCTTCCTCCATGAAGCTATTTCCATGAGTCACACAGTGTATTACAGCAAAGGCTTCTTACATTTGAAAGTTATATCAAAAACCCTATTCTTGAGTGCCATAACCAAAAACTATGTTTATAAGTCCCCCAACAACTAAAAAAAAAAAAAGTCATTAAAAAGTAGGGAGTGTTTTTTGTTAGTTTCTTGCAGAGGATCCTTCTTTTGCATCTGTCATATGTCACACAAATTCACCCATCTCTTGGGGAGCACATACAGAGTACCCTGGAGGATGGCTGCTGCTCAGTATCCCTGCCCGAGTCAAAGGCTCACAGCGTTTGGGTCTTAAGTGCATGGTGGCTTACAGGCTTCTACTGAGTCATTCACCTGAATGCAGACACAGTCTCAAATACACAGGCTTAGCCAGGGCCACCTTCCCTTCCTGTGTGGCCCCCAGCAAGTTACAGCATTGTGCCAACTCTCACCGGCGTGGCAGTGGTCCCAAAGGACATTCTTTTCACGCAGGACAGGGCAGTCTCAATTGAAAGTGACTAACTGGAGCACACAAGACCTTTGATGTTTGATTCTGACATTTTTTTACACTGGTTATTTGCTCACCTGTAACTATTATAAGCTAAGGTTTTTAAAAGTGTTGTCTAAATTCTGTAGGCACACATGTGAAAATACGTTAGCTTAAAATACACACATACACAAACATACACACACTCAAACATACACAAATATAAACACACATACACACAAACATACACATATACACAGACACACACACACATATACACACAATCCATAGCCTAACTCCCACATCCACACAAACCACCCCCACCGCCCGCTAATTATCAAGATGAATAAATGCTTATCATATTGACTCTGTCTTGAATGGAACACACATTAATAATTTATCTCACATAAATATTTCTAAGGCCTCTCCTACTATGTCATCTGGCATTCTAATTATCAAGCAGCCAAACAGGAGGCGTCACTTGGACACTGCCATTATGCAGCTCGAGGTATAGAAAATGTGCTGTGACACCTGGGCTCTGGAAGGGGGGAAAAAAGATGCACTCCTATCAACAGGACGGTCGTGAAAGGAAATTAATAAATTAACCAGGATATTGCTTATTAAAGTTTCATATCAGTAATTATATTAAAACATACTGCCACTGTTGAGTAAAATGGCCATTAGGTATTTGCCTCATTGTGGGCAATAGAACCTTCTCCATGGAGACACACAGTTTCCTCGGTGGTATCAGACTACTTTACACAAGACAAAAAAAGAAACATTGTTGCCCAAAGAAACATTGTTGCCCGAAGAAACATTGTTGCCAAAGAAACATTGTAGCCCAAGGAACATTGTTGCCTGAAGAAACATTGTTGCCAAAGAAACATTGTTGCCTGAAGAAACATTGTTGCCTAAAGAAACATTGTTGCCTGCCAGGGCAAAGACACAGGCTAACACAAAGTACCCATGCCTGTCACATGAGTTCTTGGGTTCCAAATCACCAGAATAAAGAAATTTAGGCAAAGAGCGCCTCAGAGGGTGTTTGCCCTGGCTCATCAATGGGGGAGTTTACAAGAGTTTCAGGTCATCGCCAGCTCCAGGAGAATAGACAGGTCTGGGAAGGAGCTCAGTAAAATCAAAATAATTCAAAGTACAAAACAACAATTGTATCACGTAGTCTGGCTCGCCTGGTAATACAGGCTGTCATCAAAGATAAAAGGAAGAAATTGAGGTGATTTTTAAAGTATAAGAAATTTGTGGCCGGGAGGTGGTGGCACACACCTTTAATCCCAGCACTCTGGAGGCAGAGGCAGGCGGATCTTTGTGAGTTCGAGGCCAGCCTGGTCTACAAGAGCTAGTTCCAGGACAGGCTCCAAAGCTACAGAGAAACCCTGTCTCAAAAAACCAAAAAAAAAAAAAAAAATTGTGATCTTATGTTGTCTGTGGTAAAACAGCATTTCTCAGTAACACCGAGAAAGAATTCTACTTTCTGTCGCTGACTGTTTCAACACCTAACCAACTGATACAGCTTTTGCTTCTGTGTGCAGGCACCTGCTCAGGTAGGCCCTCAACCTTGTGACACAACATGCACCTGCATGGACTAGGTTTCAGGACTGTCCCGACCCCAATAGGGCAAGTCGGGGGGCTGGCTATGGGAGGATTCAGGCATCCTGCTTTCCTGGCCCCTGTCACCTGACATCTGAAGTCGCGCTCTCTCTCCCACCTGGCGATTTTTAAAGTCACAAAAGGCTGGATCTGAACAGATCGGCCTTACATGTAGTTTGCAAGGTTTTGACACTTTCTATAGTTAGGCTACATTGGTCGTAGGAACCATAAGCCAGATATCTCCACTCGGCTGCCTAGGAAACTCCCAAACCCAGTGCGCCTGCTGCAAAGAACAGCAGCTCCATTAATTCCTTTCTCAGTGATGACTTGGTGAAAAGCCCAGGGGGAGGCAAAAAGAATGAACAGAGAGAGAACCTGCTTGCAAAGAGTTTTCTACATGGTGGCTGGAAGGGTTTATAGGAGCACACTGCACACCGGAAAAGACGCTGGCTGGGTGTGCTGGTGCAGGCAGGTCCACCAATGGTCCCAGCAGAGGCAGGAGGATCATGAGGTCAGAGCAGTGCCTGGGTCATGCAGGGAGACCCATCCTAAGTAGGAACACAGAAGAAAGATGGGGAAGGGAGAGAAGGGGAAG